AGGCCTGGGAAGGGCAGGAAGGCTGACGTGAGCCATGGGGCTGCAGCTCGTGGCCACGGGGCCAGGGTCTGGGCCTTCCCACTGTTTACAGTCCGTCGCTGAGGTGTTTGTCCAGTCTCTGCTGGGGTCCTGCTGGAAGGCTTTTTAAAATAAAATTCTCATTTCTTTCCTAGACCAATACACAAACCGAACAGCGGCCAATACCGCATTTATTTTTCTTGTGGACACATGAGCTCACTTTCTGAAGTTCTTTGGGAGGATGTCCTGGGGCAGGCTTTTTTGCCAAGGTGACAGGGCCCCTTTGGGGTGTGAGGTGGTGCCATGAGAAGGCTCCTGATCAGAGCTGAGGACAGAACCCATGAGGACCCCAGGATGCTGCCATCTCTGGATGGCCCCAAACAGTGGTCTGTTAAAGCCCTGGCCTTCTGCCTTCAGCCCTGCCCTGGACGGCCACAGACCATCTCCACCTAGCAGCCAGCGTGATTTTTGAAAAATGAAAACTGCACCCTGTGAAATCATTCTTCTGTTGAAACCACCTGAACAGCTCTCCATCCCACTCAGTAAAACCCAAACTCCTCACTGTGGCTTGTAAGCACTTTGCCCTAAGGTGAAGCCTGTAGACCCCTTATCAGAAGAATGCTTTTATATATAAAATAGAATACATAGGGTTACAGAGGAAACTGATCCTTTTTAAGTATGCTTACCACATACTTCTAAAATGTATGATACAGAAATAGATGTGCTTCTTTGTTAATACTTTAAATTATAAGGTCTAACTGTGTGGGTCTAATAGCTATTGTAATTTTGATTTATTTATTTATTTATTTCTATTTATTTATTTTGCCACAGGGTTTGACTCTGTCGCTCAGGCTGGAGTGCAGTGGCATGATCTTGACTCAGTGCAACCTCTGCTTCCTGGGCTCAAACTATCCTCCCACCTCAGCCTCCTGAGTAGCTGGGACTACAAATGTGCACTACCACACCCAGCTAATTTTTGTATTTTTTGTAGATATGCACTACTACACCCAGCTAATTTTTGTGTTTGTTGTAGATATGGGATTTTGCCATGTTGCCCAGGCTGGTCTCAAACTCCTGAGCTCAAGTGAGCCTCCCTCCTCGGCCTTGCGAAGTGCTGGGATTATAGGCATGAGCTACTGCACCTGGCCAGCTATTGTAATTTTGAACTTGTCATGAACCTGAGTGAGCTTTCAGATATCTGCAACAATTGATAGGAATGGATCTTTGATTTCTGTCAGTGACAAGTCCTGGGCGCTGCTGACATTATTGTAATTGTTGTCTACATTCATAATTGAAGGAAGTGCAAATTTTCAGTTAGAGGTTGGTGAAAAGAAAGATGACATTTCTCTCCACCCCAGTCCATGGACTCCCTAAATCCTATCCGTGGTCCTTTTGGCAGTGCCCTCCCTGTGCTGCCCTACATGAGCTGGCCCTCACCCTCATCTTGGATCCCTCCCTCCTCCTCCATTCACAAGCTGTTCTCCCTTTTGTCCTTTGAATACCACACTCTTGTCTCCAGCCCGGAGCCTTTGCACCTGCTGTTCTCTCTACCTGGAATGTTCTTCCTCACACTTTTTCTTCCAGGGGACTTTAAGGTCTCAGTCCAAATATCATCTCCATAGAGAAGCCTTCTAAAAAGAAACCATACCTTCCCTCTAATTGCATCCTTTCCCATAGTGCTGTTTATTTAATGTTCTTACCCATAACTCCGTCTGAAGTCATCTTTTCGTTTACTTGTGTATTTTCTGTCTCCCACACTGGACTAGATGTTCTATGTTAATAGCAACTGTGTCTTGCCTGGTTCACTATGAGAACAGTGTCTGGCACATAATAGGGGTTCATTAATACTGGGTGAATGAAGGAATGAATGAGGTGAAATATTTGAAGTTAGAGCTCTTTGAATGGTGTAAACCTGGGAGGCAGAGCTTGCAGTGAGCTGAGATCCAACCACTGCACTCCAGCCTGGGCAACAGAGTGAGACTCCATCTCAAAAAAAAAAAAAAGAAAAGAAATTAGAGCTCTTTTAAAAAAATTGGTGACATGTGTTTGCTGTACCCAAATTTAACCTTAGCCAGTAGCCTCCACTTAAAGTAATTAAAGTCTGGCCCTAGGAGACACTGTAGGAAGCATCTGCTGTAACCCCCCAGCCATCCTCACCATCCGGATGAGGCAGCTCGGCGCAATACGTGACTCAACCACAGTCTCACAGCCACTGAGTGGGGAGGGGAAGCTGGTGGCTCCTGGGCCAGGTTGGTTTCCTCTGAAGCTGTAGTTGGAGTCATGATCACGGTGATGTCAGATTTTCACAGAATCCTTAGCTCAGGGGGCTGGAGGACATCTTGTCCACCACCTATTGGTGGTGGAGTAAACAGGCTTGAAAGGGAGAGTGACCCTCCCAGGACAGCCGGGTCCCTGGTCTGGAGTGACACCTTGCAGCTCCCCGTAAGCATATTGCTGCATAAACATGTGGGCAGGGCCCCAGCCAGTACTCAAAGCAGGGCGACTTCTTAGGCGCTCAAAGGGGTGGACATTTCTCTCTCTATTGTATCTCATAAGTGTGTGTGGTGAGTTCCCCTGCTTATTCAATGCATGTTTAGTGAGCCCTGAAAACGTGCTGTCCACGGGGGAGCTGAGCGGATCGCTACTCTCCTGGAGCTCATTCACCAGTGAGCGTGGGAGACCGACTGAAATTAAGATGAGATGACAAATCAAGAAAGTTCCATAAGGGTCTGGAGCAGTTTGCTGAGCTGCAGAACCATGGCAAAGGTCTGCGCCCACTTCCCTGGAGAAAGTGGCATCCCTCCTGGCCTCCTAAGGGATCTCTCTGACAGCTCCCTGAGGGCCTGGACCACGGTCTCTCCATCTGGGCGTCTCCATTGCTGTAGCAGCATGAGTGGGTGGATGGATGTTGCCTTCTCTTCAACCTAGAAGCCAGGACTGTGAGTGGCAACCATGAGCATTGGACAGATTCCGAGGCCAGGTGCAGTGGCGCAGGCCTGGAACCCCAGTGCTTTGAGGGGCGGAGGCAGGAGGATTGCTCAAACCCAGGAGTCTAAGGCCACAGTGAGCTCTGAATGTGCTGCTGCACCACTTCAGCCTGGGTGACAGAGCGAGACCCTCTAAAAGAAAAAAGTAGAGAAGAGAGAGGTTCCTTGCCACATATCTCTGCTTCCAGTGTGAGCCCCAGGTATGAACTAACAGATTTTCAACAGAACTGGCAGAGGGCAGACAGACCGGGAGAGGAGGAAGGGGTTCTCTAACGTGTGCTCGCTGAAACATCAAATAGTGACTTTATTAGTTAATGGGATAATTGTTCATGGGAGATCATTAGAGAGCCTAAATCAAAGAAGTTCTTAGGATGTCCGAAACTTGGAAGGCTGGAACGTCATCACAAAGATAAAAGATTGTTGAGGTCTGCAAATATTTCTCAGTGACGCAGAAAGGTCTGTTGGGCAAAAGTGTGGCATTTTTATTTATTTAGCTCAGGCTCATTGCGTACTTTATTCTTTCATTAAAAAAAGTCTGAGGGGGCTTGAGTGAAAGAGTTGATTATTCCACTGTTTGGCAATATTTCTGTAGGAACTGTCCAAAAGCTATATAATAAATCAAGGCCCCCTCCCCACCCCGCAACAGGACTGATGTTTATGAGGAGGCTGTTCACAGAAAGTAGCTGCTGCGTCTGGCATGCCACAGCGGTGCCCCGAACCCTCGCAGACAGACAGGGGAGATTGAGTTGCCTTGTGGGAGAGCCTCTTGCCAAAGCCTTAACTGTTTCCAGGAGCAGAAGCCCCAGGCTGTGGGGGATTCCTAGAGGAAAATGTAGAATCTTTTAACATGGGGGGAAAAAAAACCATCTTCATAGTGTGAAGATTTCCTTGAAGTAGCCTAGTTCTTGGTTATTCACCCAACATTGCCTGCCTGCCTTGCCCTGCCTGCCTTGCCTCTCTCCCACTCTCTGTCTCTCTCTCTTTCTTTCTTTCTTTCTTTCCTCCTCTCTTTCTTTATCTTTCTCTGATGTATATTTTTTGAGACAGAATCCCACTATGTTGACCAGACAGGGCTCAAGCAGTGTTCTATCTCAATCTTTTGAGTAGCTGAGACTGCAGGTGTGAGCCACTGTGCCCAACTGCCTTGTTCTTTTTTTTTTTTTTTTGAGACAGAGTGTCACCCTGTCACCCAGGCTGGAGTGCAGTGGCGCAATCTCAGCTCACTGCAACCTCCGCCTCCAGGGTTCAAGAAATTCTCCTGCCTCAGTCTCCTGAGTATCTGGGACTACAGGCGCCCACCACCATGCCTAGCTAATTTTGTATTTTTGGTAGAGACAGGGTTACACCATGTTGGCCAGGCTGGTCTTGAACTCCTGACCTCATGTGATCTACCTGCCTTGGCCTCCCAAAGTGCTGGGATTACAGGTGTGAGCCACCATGTCCAGCCTGCCCATGTTCTTTAAACCAGACACTGGCTGATGGATACTTGTTAAGCTCCTCCTCTGTGCTAGGCATTGCTGCAGTCGCCGGAGCTGTGTCACAGGCCACCCTTGTCCAGCAGCGAGGGCTCATGGAAGGATCTCCGTCACTGTCATCAAGATCAAGTGGTGGTGCTGCTGCTCCCAGCCCTGTGACTTTGAGCAAATAGCTTACTTTCTCTGGTTTGCAGTTTCTTTGTGTATAAACTGGAGACGCTAACACCAACCTGGTAGAGCCTCTGGGAGGGCCAGCAGAGTGTCGCACACAGGCCATCGTTGTCATCAGCATCATCATTGTCATCGTCATCCTCACGGTGGTAGTGGTTTGAGGGCAGAGGCTGAGGACCCTTTGAGAGGGTTTTGGAGTTTCCCAGAGAAGCTGAATCGGCTACACATGATGAATGAGGCCAGCTGCTTTTGTGCTGAGGTGAAGTGGGTTCAGTGTCCCAAAGACTGCTGCCTTGGTGTCATCAGAATCCTCCTCTTCCTGGAGCACTGCCTGAGCTTCCTCTTCTTGGAAGCCTGCCCTGATTCCTGCAGTCCTCAGCCTTCCTTCCTCCCCGTGGCTCCACAGTTTGCCCAGGGAAGCTGGAAGCATCCCACTCTGCCCAGGCCTCTGCTCTGCCTGGCGTGTTTCCTTGAAAGGACATGTGTTATCTAGAAGCCTGCAGCTCCGAGTCCTAACAATGGTTATCCCCAGGGAAGGCGTGAAAGTCAGAGGGGACATTGGCTTTATCTGTAAGGTCGTTTTTTTCTGTCTTCCCACGAATAGTACTCAGTAACAAACCAACTGCATTTTAGTTGGGCAGTGCTCCCACCCACCCTCCAGATCCCTTCCAGCTAAAACCCTTCCCCCTTCCCTCCATGTGTTTCTCAGTTCCCCGTTTTGTTTGTTGGATTGTTCCACTGCCCCTCCTCCTCACCCTACCACCCTTGGATCGTAATGTAAAATTCTTTTACCATGTCAATAAATTATTAAAAATACAGGTACTTTGACCTCTTTCTAAAAAAAAAAAAAAAAAAAACGAATTGGCATGTTCTTTGTCTAATTAAAAATCAAATGAATAAAGACTAGATACCCTGCCTGATTCCATGATGGGCAGAGGGAATGGTGACACTGTTTCCCCCTTTCCTTGTTGGCTTTGTGCCTCATGATGGGCCTGGGGTCCCTGAGAGGATGATCAGAGTCTCACACATCTTGGTGACCCAGTCCCCCTCAGGCCTGCCTGGCTGGCACGTGAGCTCTTGATTTCATCGTCAGGGAGACCAAGTCTCTCTGCAGACGTCATCGCTGTCCTTGGGGTGATAAGGGCGCGTCATGTCTGTCGTTCTGCCACCTAGCTGTGCTCTGATAAGGTACAGCATCTGCTTGTCCTTGGAGGGCGAAATAAATTTAGATGTGTCGGGTTTGGAACATCAGGTGACCTGTCCGTAGCTGGAGCTCTCAGGAGGGGAGGGGGGCCCCGCTATCTTTGGGGTGTTAGTCTCACCTCCCCACTATGGCCGGAAGCTCCTTGAAGGACAAGGCACGAGCTCAGGTGCATGTGAGATACTCAGGGATGCTATCAGTGGGTTTCTTGTTTGGACAGTCTTAGAATGGAGTGGGGGCAGGGATTTTACAGATCACCTGGAGTTGTGGTTTTCAGAGACTGCTCTGCAGGGAGAGTGTGTGATCCAGACCAGGCTTTTGCCCAATCGGGCTTTATTTTACCTTTTATATTGGGGCTTCCATATCAGATTTCATTCTAGGGCTAAATTTGAGTTTGAAACCCACTGTTCTAGGCCAGATCTCCCATTTTCCAGGTAAGTGAACTGAATCCCAGAGAAACAAGTAACTTGCCAAGGTCACCCCATGATTTGACTCCAAGGCAGGCTCTCTCCTCTACCACGTTAGTTTTTCCTGAGGAACATCAGGCGACCTGTCCGCAGCTGGAGCTCTCAGGAGGGCTGAGAGCCCTCCTGGTGGCTTAACCAGCAGCAGTTTATTGTCTCACAGTTCTGGAGGCTGGAAGTCCAAGATCAGGGTGTCAGCAGGTTTGGTTTGTTCTGAAGGCTGGGAGGGAGAGGCTGTTCCAGGCCTCTCCCATGGCTTCTGGGGGTTTGCTGTCATTCTTTGGTGTTCCGTGGCTGTAGACTCATCAGCCCTATCCCTGTCTTCATCTTCACTCCGTCTTCTACCTGTGTGAATGTCTGTCTCTAAGTTTCCCTGTACCCCCTCTTTTTTTCTTTTTTTTGAGACGGAGTTTTGCTCTTGTTGCCCAGGCTGGAGTGTGGTGGCACGATCTCAGCTAACTGCAACCTCCACCTCCTGGGTTCAAGCAATTCTCCTGCCTCGGCCTCCCGAGTAGCTGGGATTAAAGGCACCCGCCACCACGCCCAGCTAATGTTTTTAATATTTTTAGTAGAGACAGGGTTTCACCAGGTTGCCAGGCTGGTTTTGAACTCCTGACCTCAGGTGATCCACCCACCTTGGCCTCCCATAGTGTTGGGATTACAGGCATGAGCCACCACACCCGGCCAAGTTTCCCCTTTTTCTTGAGGACACCAGTCATATTGGATTAGGGCCCACCCTAATGACCTCATTTTAACTCGATTATCTCCGTAGCGACCCTCTTTCCAAATAAGGTCACGTTCTGAGGTAATGGGGATTAGGACTTCATTGTATCTTCTTTAGGGGATCCAGTTGAACCCATAACATATTCACGTGCTCATGTGGTCTGGTGGAGCTAAAGGTAGAGGGATCGGGGATCCTGATTCCCACCGGGTCTGAGGGTGGGCACTCCTCTCCCGAGCCTGGCGAGGACTTAGCCCCCTGCAATCCCAGGCTGCTCACTTACCCAGTGGCCACAGGAATGACTGTGGGAGGAGCAATTGTTTTTCAGGTCATGTTGCAGCTTTTTCAATCTCCCTGTTTGTTATTGGTTTAGTCATAGCAATTGGTAAATTACTTTGCTAAAAAACACAGAAAATTATAAGGAAAGAAAGTCACCCCTAATTTTACATCTCAGATCGAGCCGTAGTTAACACCTTCATGTGATTTCTTCTAGCTTTTTTCCCCATCCATATACATGTGGTTTTGTTTCGTACCTCTTTTCTTAACATAATATTAAAAATATTTTCCCTTGTCATTAAAATCTTCATAAATGTGATGTACATTTTTCCATTCGATGCATATTTATTGAGTGTCAGGCATGGTAGATACATCAGTGAGCAAAGAGCAAAACTTCCCATCTCATGGGCTGCCCTCCTTCAGGTGAAATGACACACTGGGCCATTGGGAGCTCACCTAGTACCTTCAACCCAGCATCCAGCCGGGCCCCCGGTCTCTCCCCACCTGTGGCTTACTTCCTGTTGGTGAATTCTTCCTTTAAGCGATCTTGGAAATAAGCCCTTGCCTGTGAACCCAGAATAAATGTGATTTGTGAAGTTCTCCTATCACATGTATATATTGTACTATTTGGTTTTTTTCCACCTAGTTTTTGCCATTACAATTAATGTTCCGATGAACATCTTTGTACTTCATTGTGACACTTTGATCTATGGCTCAAAGGGAAGAAAGTCCACTGTCTTTTTGAAAGCCAGAACACAGCAACCTGTACAGTACTGTTTGCTTCCTCTGGAATGTTCTGTTCATTTCCAGCTTTGCACTTGCATCCACAGACACCATTAACCTGAAGTGTGATGGGGATGGACAAAGTGGGTGATGTTTGGTGAGCGGCCTCCTCCTGGCTTGCCTGCCTCGATTCACTGCAGTCAGCAGGTGTGAGACGGATTTTTCTGTCTATTTTAAGGCCCTCACTGAAAATGGGAAAAACAAGCTCGTTTGTACGGGGGACCTCAAGCCAACACAAGAACCCAGCCGCCCTGCAGCAGCCTGAGCGTGACAGCGTTCTGCCCCATAAAGAGATGCTAGGAAAACACTTTTAATGGTCTCTGCCTAGACTCTATTTACGGAATTTATTTCCCAGAGCTCAGGCTGTTCAGCAGTACCTTGGCAGCAGGGCCCAGCAAAGCTGCATCTCCTGTCTCCCCTCCACGTCTGCCTGGGTGTATTAAACCCCCTTGTTCTGAACACCCCAGAGCTAGTAACCGAAAGGCAGGGGTAGGGGGTTGCAGGGAAGAAAAGCCATGGGTCGTAGGATATTTGGGGCCAGTATAAACTTCCAAATTAAAAAACAAAAACTAGCTAGGCTCGGTGGCTCACTCCTGTAATCCCAGCACTTTGGCAGGCAGAGGCATGTGGATCACTTGAGCTCAGAGTTCAAGATCAGCCTGGGCAACATGGCGAAACCTCATCTCTACTAAAAATACAAAAAATTAGCCAGGCTTGGCAGTGTGAGCCTGTAGTGCCAGCTACTTGGGAGGTTGAGGCAGGAGAATTGCATGAGCCAGGGAGGCAGAGGTTGCAGTGAGCTGAGATCACACCATTGCACTCCAGCCTGGGCGATGGGAGTGAAACTCTGTCTCTATTAAACAAAAACAAAACCAACAACTGAAGAACAATACAAAATTACCCTGCAAAGAGCTAGGGGCATGAGCTACTGCTGGCTGCTAGCTGTGGCCCCTTCTAGCCAGTGGTAGAAAGGAAGATGTAAAAATCCTGAAGCATTTTGAGTACTGCTTTTTTTTTTTTTCCCTGTTTGACAATTGATGCTGAACCATCTTTAAAGGTTTTTTTGTTTGTTTTGTTTGTTTGTTTGTTTTTGAGACAGAGTCTCACTCTGTCACCCATTCTGGAGTGCAGTGGTACAGTCTCACTCACTGCAACCCCCACCTCCCGGTTTCAAGTGATTCTTGTGCCTCAGCCTCCCAAGTAGCTGGGATTACAGGCATGCACCACCACGCCCCACTAAATTTTGTATTTTTAATAGAGATGAGGCTTTGCCATATTGGCCAGACTGGTCTTGAACTCTTGGCCTCAAGTAATCTGCCCACCTCAGCCTCCCAAAGTGCTAGGATTACAGGTGTGAGCCACCATGCCCAGCTCCAAAACTTACCTTTTAATTCCTTTTCTCATTACAAAAATAATATATGTCCATGGTTGAAATTTCCAAAACAATTTTATTTTATTTTTATTTTATTTTATTTATTTATTTATTTATTTATTTATTTTTATTTATTTTTTTGAGATGGAGTCTCACTCTGTCACCCAGGCTGGAGTGCAGTGGTGCGATCTCAACTCACTGCAACCTCCACCTCCCAGGTTCAAGCGATTGTCTGCCTCAGCCTCCTGAGTAGCTGGGATTACAGGCACCCGCCACCACGCCCAGCTAATTTTTTTGGTATTTTTAGTAGAGACAAGGTTTCACCATCTTGGCCAGGCTGGTCTTGAACTCCTGACCTTGTGATCCACCCGCCTCAGCCTCCCAAAGTGCTGGGATTACAGGCATGAGCCACCGCGCCCGACTCCAAAACAATTTTAAAAGGGCAAAATAAAAACTGCCAGTGAGCTAAGGATAAGCACCATTAACACTTTGGTCTGTTGCCCTTTCGTTGTTTGTTCTGCTTCTAGGGAGAGAATTGTACCAGCCTTGGCTATCATCTTCCTTGCCCAGACGTCAGATATCATTTAAAATGGAAACCTGTGGTTATAGACTCCCACCTCGACTGGGAGGCAGAAGACCCAGGTTTTTGTGTTACCTCTTGGTCCTGGGGCCTTGGGAAAGCCACGTAACCTTGATTTGCTCATCTTTAAAATGGGGACTCAGTATTCCTCACCTTAGCAGATGATGGAGTGG